ACGTCACGCAGTTTTATTGCCTCCGCGTCACTTGTGAAAACCAAATACGCGCCGTAAATGTGCGCAACGAAACGCATGGAGCGAACCAAGGTCTTCAGCATCGTCATTTCCCCCGCAAAGGCATCCAATTTGTTGCAGATGATCATGGTTGGAACCCCAGACAGACGCAGACGATTCAAGTCGGGGTGTTCCATGCCCACCAGGCGCTTGGCTCGACTCAGCAGTTTGTCCGGCGTCGCCGATCCCTTGGCGCGCATCTTTTGAAAAATTTCTATCACACGGCGGTCCACACGTTTCATCCAGTAAACCACAGTATCCCACATGGTCGATGGCTCGCTACAATCGACCACAATAGCAAGAACCATCGTGTGCACATTCTCCGGCGTGATAACCACCTCGCAAAGCTGCGACAACTCCATCCCCTGCGCCAGTTCCCAGAAATGTGCCACCTGTGCGATGTGCCGGTCATTACGCCTGACAAAGGAGTAATCCAGAGCGGTTGTGGGCTTCACCCGAAGAAAACTCTTGGGAACGGAGGAGCTGGAGGTGTTCACCCCGGAAAAAATACGACGCAGGAGACTGGTTTTCCCACTACCGGAGGTCCCAACAATCAACACATTCACCTCCGTCTGTGTGACTTGGTTCTCCCTCGTGTTGAGTATAATATTCTGCCACAAATCTTTCGTGGGGTCAACCGTGACCTGCGGCATTCCTGGTCCATCCTCGGTGGGCAATGCGGCACCGTCAAGGTGCGCCGCGTCTCCCTGCAACACGCCGTTGGCGCCACTAGGCTCCATGTCAGCGTCCAAGAAACCGCTCCTCCCTTTCCCCTCCACGGCGTCACTCCGCCCCTTCATCCCCTCTGCGGTGCACACAAATTAGACGGCCAATTCACCGATACAGCCGGCCAACGAACCACTCGTCCCCTCTACACCTCGCACACACGGCGTATCCCTACGGCCTTCTCGCTATTTTATTCCCCCTTTTTTTGTGTTCCTTCCTCCAATCGCGCTCCTTCCTCCTCAGCCCTTCACGTCCCTCTCACACGGAGGTGGCAAAAAGGTCGGCGACGCCTAGGCACCAGCCACGCCCGCACGCCAAGGCCGCATTCGCCCAAATAGAAGAGACATTGAAAAAAAAAAAAAAAAAAAGAGAACAGTCCCGGCTGCAGCGAGTCCTGCCATCGTCAGAGATGGCTGTGGCGGAATACAAAAGAAAAGAAAAAAGAAAAAAAAAAGCCGGCAGCCATGAAGGCGGTGATAGATGGTTTAAAATAAACAAAAGAAGAAAAACGTCTTAAACAGCACACAGCAGCCAACTCCGTTCTCCTCTTGTTTCTTTCCTTCACTCATTAGTCCGCGTCCATTTCAATTCATGTTTGCCCATTTCCTTTCTCTTTCTCTCTTTTTCTTTGTTTTTTCTTTTTCTTTTTTCTGTTTTTTTTTTTTTTTTGTTTTTTTGTTTTGTTTTGTATGTACTTACGTATGGGTTGTTCTCCACTTTTATTGACAGGGCGATGAAACCAGAAAAAAAGAAAAAAAAAAATTTTTATTTTTAAAAATAAAAATAAAAATAAAAATAAAAAAAAGAGAGTCCGGCAGGTTCTGGTGCCCCCTGCGTTTTGCTGATGACGAGGCCGGCAGCCTCCAATTGCCGGCGGACGGGAAAAAAGTGACAAAACAAAAGAAAAGAAAAGAAAAGAGAAAAGAAGAAAAAAAGGAGGGGGAAAACAACACCGAAGACGCAGGAAAAAAGAGAAATTAAAAAAAGATGAGAGGCAAACACAACGCGTCAGGCCGGACATGCGTCTGCTAGATGTCTTCTCCCCCACCCCCTTCTTCCCCACCCTCTTCTTCCCCACCCTCTTTTCGCCTTCGTGCGGCGTGAAATTTACCTCCGCCCCCGTCCTCGTCTCTGCCCTCACGGCCACGTAGCACCGCAAACACACACATATAACACACACACGCGCAAATACACACGGAAAAAAAGGGGGTAAAAAAAAAAAAAAAAAAGGAAGGGAATAATACACTGTTTCTCCTTCTTTTTTTTTTTCTTTTTTTACGTTTTTATTTCGTTGTTGTTGTTGTTGTTGTTGTTGTTTTTGTTGTTGTTAAGTTTTGCTTCTGCTTGTATGTGTATGTGTGTATATAGATAGATAGATAGATAGATATACATGTATGTTTGTATGTTTGCTGCGCTTTACTTGCCACTCATGCGTGCATGACTGCATGCGCTGCCCAAACACACATGTATGTAAATATACAGACACACAGACACAATGAAACAAGAAAAAGCAAAAAAAGAAAGAAAAAAAGTTCTCAGTTGGTTTCTGCAAATAAATCCACAAGGCCAATGGCCAGGTGATCTCGGCTGCTCTTTGTTGAATGTCTTCTCTCCCCCCCCTCCCCCCCTTCCCAACGGTTGGCTGTAGGCAGGAAGGAGGGGAGGGGGAAAAGAAGGAGAAAGGGAGGGCACACACACACACACACACAAACGTTACACACGCAGGCATAAAACGAAGAATTCAGTGGAATATGTTAGCGGCACAACATGCGTATAGAGAGAAATAGAAATAGAGGTAAACATAAGGGGAGAACACCACTCGACTTCAAACCGCCGCAATTCAAACATCAAAACAACAACAAAAAAAAGAAAAAAAAGAAAGTGTGAGCGGGACAAAAATAACTTTTTTTTTTTTTTTTTCTTACGGAGGAGGAGAAAAAAAAAAAGGGGGGGGGGGCACCACTTTGGAAAAAAAAAAAAGAGCCGCGTCATCCGTGACAAACAAAAAAAAAAAAAAAAAAAAAAAACCGTTTACAACACCCACGGAGGGGGTGTAC